AACTTATCTGAGTAAAACTGAAGATTTTGTAATCTAAGTTATAGTAACCTTACTTTCATGTAATGAAAATTTTCTATAAAACTAATTTTTGGCAAAATTTTGGAAATTGTTCTTGTGTTGAAATATTAAAATCTTAGTTTTCAAAAGGGGTGCACTCATTTATGCTGAGCACTGTACTAGGTCGCCTGTGGGATTCCTTGGGGATTCATAATTTGTAGGTATACCTATTCTTTAACATGCTACAAGTTGTAAGCTCGAAAGAGCAGGGCCCTCGAACATCGCATTGTATTGGTATTGTTCTGTCACATGTTCTGTCCCCCTTTGTAATGTACAGCGCTGAGCAAACTATTGGCGCTTTATAAATACTGTATAATAAATTGTTCTGGCAGGCAAATGGCAGCTAGGGAGCATTGTCCAGACTCGTGGTAAAGGGAATGTATAGTGGTTTTGTACTTATGTTCTACATTACAGTCAGAGCTAGAAAAAAAAAATTGGATTTTTTTTCTACATACTTACCTGTAAAATTTATTTCATTGAGTACAGGCTATGTAGGTTATATGCCACTTAGAGGTGAATGGACACTGGCAGGTCAATCAAACAGGAAGTCCTCCCTATATAACTCCTCCTACACAGGAAGTACTTCCGTTTTTGCAGCAAGCAATGAAATTCCAGAAAGGGGGAGGGACCTCTGTGTCCCGTGATGTACTCCAAGAAATGGAATTTATAGGCAAGTATGTAGAAGAAATCCAATTTTCTTTATAGTATATCACAGGACACAGAGCAGGCTATTCATGACTATGTGGTATGTCCTAAAGCAATAAAAAAAAAAACCATGGGGTGGGTGACCCCATAATAACCACCACCATCAATCCCAAAGGTCTTACTCAGCTGTCCGTGACAAAATGCGGCCAAAGGCAGAATCTTCTGTGGCTCTGACATCCACCTGCTAAAACCTTGTAAATGTATGAATGGAAGATCATGCAGTGGCCTTGCAAACCTGAGGCATTGACGCCTGATGGCGGATAGCCCAAGATGACCCCACACTCCTGGTAGAGTGCGCTCTCATCCAAAAAGCTGGGATGTGATCCTTCAAACCATAGGCTTGAATCGTTGTCCTGTGCTGCCAAACACAAGTAAATCCTGACCACATGAACTACATTCAGCATGTGCAGCGATCTTTTCCCTGCCAACTGTGGACTAGGAAAAAAGAAAGGCAAGACGCTGCCCTGATTCAAGTGAAAACTAGAAAGCACTCTAGGCAAGAAGATGGATGAGGACACAACATCACCTTATGATGCAAGACCAAGAACAGCTCCTTACATGAAAGGGCCATCAGCTTTGACACTCTTCTTGCCGAAGTGATAGAAGCCACCTTCCGAGTCAAAGGACTAACGAAGTCTCCCAAATGGTGGCTTCTGCAAGGACAGCCAAGTTTAAGTCCCAAGGACACAAGGGCAGCCGGACAGATGGGACAGTCTGCATTACACCCTGAAAAAAAATGGATAGAACTAAAATCTGACCCTTAAATGGTACTTGGGGTCAATGTATTTTCCCCTCCTGATTGGAAAAAGGACAAAAACCTTTCAAATCACACATTTCTGCAGGTGCCACTTTCCTGGCTTTGCACCAGGCAAATAAGATTCCCAGGTCATGTAATGGAAGCTCCTTGAAGCCGGCTTCCTGGCACTCAACAGTGCAGAGAAAACAGAACCCGAGATCCCACCGATCTTTCCAGACCTGGGTTTAAATAGCCAAGCCTTAAATCCTAGCGATCGTAAAGCAGGATACATTACTGGACCCAAGACAATAGGTCTGGGCGGACCGGAAGTTTCCAAGGAGTGGTAATTATGCAGGTATGCACAATTATGTAATATAATGCTGCAACTGTCCCGCTTTCTAGAAGCAGATTATTTCATCAAAGAATTTAGTCAAAATTAACTACACTAGTTTTGGAGGACTAGTCAAGCACATATCCATCAAACTCAGCTTGAATGCAGCCAAAATGTAAGCTCCCGCAGATCAAGTGCAAGCTACTCTGGAGACTCAACTCCTTTAAGTGCACTGCTACACCTGTAGTGGTATATCAAAAACAGTGGTACAAGCCCCACGGCATTACACAGGCTAATGGAGTATATAATCGTGTCCTGTCTGGTCATGCAGCTCTCCCACAGGTAATACTCGCATCATCATCCATCCATCGACTGCTCTGTGTCCCTGCGAGCTCTCAGAAGCCTCACTAATCTATCAGCCCACATGCGACTGCAAACATAAGGCCAAAATGGCCACCACTCTACTTCCTGCCTCCACGCACAAAAGTAGGTTATAAAGTGGGACTGCAGCCTCTGGTTACTGGAAGAAAAAAGGGCAGCCCAATACTCCTTCAGAGACACACAGAGCATGGCCCAGCTAGATTAAACAGCACATTGCCCCCAGTGGGAAGCACCAGGAGAATAATCAGTCAGATTTTCAAAGTATAACCTTACCATTCCTGCCACAGGACTCTGAATCGTAGCATGAATCCAACCTTCACCCATCACTGCAGGCTCTGTCATAAAAGACCTTCAAGGACACTGCCCCCCTTACACCTGGGGTCCACCCCTCTGACCTGTATAGCACCCTGCTAGAAAGCACCTCGGTCACAAAAACACTGCACAGAGTTCCAATAAACAAGTCCAGCACCGAAAGGCTGCATTGCAGGCAAACCTCGAGGATTCTTCTCTCGGGTACCATCCATTTTGGCTAAAAGCTTTTCCAATGAATCCGAATGAAGTTCTTGATTCTCAGCTGAACGGTTACAGACTTCCAAGTATGGTCCAGGAACATATGCAGCACATCCACTGGCGAAAAACCTGAAGTATGTCCTGTGTAGGAGGCCCTATATAGGGGAGGACTTCCTGTTTGAGTGATCAGCCAGTATCCATTCACCTACAGGTAGCATATAAACAAAATAGTAATCAACAGCCTGCTCTGTGTTCTGTAACGTATGATAAAGAAAGGTTTTTTTTTGGTATAAATTGGGTAAATAGGAAATATTGCCCAGTTTATTATGTAGTCTTTTATTCCAGCAGCAGATGGAGAGGTCGTCTTTTCACAGGAAAAGCAGTATCACTCTTCGCTAAAGCTGGCCATTCATGGATTGAAATTTGGCCGGTTCAGCAAAGTCATATTTTAAATGGTGGTAACATCTATCAGTGTTGTCTCCATGGATATTTCGTTAGGAACCATGCCTGGAGAATGTTGGTAGCCACCAAAAGCCTTCCTAGTGGTCCTCAGGTCTCCTGGCTCATTTACATACCAAGTACCACAGTAAACAGATTTTGGATGGAAAGCAGTGGAAATCGTGACCTCCTGTTCCGTGATCTCCGCGGTATTGAATGAACACATCAGAATCCAATTGCATTGGACAGGTAGCATACAAATTGGCAACTCTGCATGCTTGACATGTATGGGCTCCAGAGAAAGCCCCAGGGGGTCTATCACCTGATCTCTCCACAGAGATAACCTGTCATTACCTCAATGCTATCACAGAAGATAAATAAAAAAATTGCTTAAAAAAAAAAAAAAAGAAAAAGCACAATATTAAAGGGACCCGTTACAATTTTGTGGGCACTGGGCTACAAATTCATTTTTAACGTGTCTCAATGTACATAAAATATCACACTTGCACTATAGTGTGGGCATGTTTAGGTTTACTGCATATAAATGTGTGTATAAAAAACATTATGCAACAAATTTTCAGTATCACACATGAGGGACATAATAATTTTAGGGTCAGTTCCAAAGTGATGAGCTGTAAAGGTTTTTAAGGTGTCCTCTATTTACAGTTTTTGTTATAGTGGACAGTTCAAAAAAGTTAAAAATTAAAGCAATGGCTGAATTAAAATGGACTCAAAAGGATTTTAGTTTCCTTTTGCGTGTAACTGTACATAGGTTACTATGACCATGGCAAGATGAATTGTGAACAAACAAGGTAAGAAACAATACTTGCTGTATTACATCACAACATTGTTTATTATGTGACTTTGTACAATACAAACAAAAAAAAAAAAATACAGAAATGCAGTATATGAATACAACTAAATGCAAAATTGTGATGTTCCTCTTCTTGTGAGGTCATGATTCCCATTTCTAGCAAAACATAAAATAGACTGCACAATAAGGAGGAAACAGAATGTTTGTTAATTTTATCTAGAAATGACCTATAAATGCACCATTCCTGCTGCATTATCACAAAACTTAGGGATGTAAAGATGCAGAAAACAAAAAAATAAAATAGAAAAAGGTTTTACTCGTTGGTTCCTACAGCAAAGAAATAATATGTAGATTAATTTAGTAGGACCAACAGTTGGAAAATATCTAAAGGTAAATGTCATTATAAAAGGAAGCAGTAATTAGACTCTCCTGGTTAAAGAATGTAATATATTTTAGATATTGCCCAAACATAAGAGATTGGTCATGAAACAAGGGAGAGAAAATAAAAAAGCCATCTGTGCACTGTAAAGCCTATAATTCCCATATGTACTTTAAACAATGGAAGTGTCAAAATAGGGAAAAATGAAAATGACAAGAAACTGTATGCATGGAAGTTTTTGTATTACATGTGCGCAAGTTAGCAGATGCAATAAAAGTATGGCATTTTATCTTCATTGTAAGCCAGAGTTCTTGTATTGTGGAATATCCTGCTACCAGCCCCCAGATATACAACCGTAAAATGCTTTTATTTTCTTGATTTTAAAATGGAGACATCAGTTAAAAGGAGAAATATAGAGGGGGGGAAGGGAGCATTGCAGCGTCTAGTTCTCCAGATATGCAAAAACCTTAAACGATTCAAGGCATCTTAATATCCATTGAGAATAATATGAAAAAATAAAGGTCATGCCATTAAATCCAACATTAATGGGTGCATCTGGTTTCAAAAGTGGCTGAATGGTTCCAACAAACACTGATGTCTGGGCTGGCAAGTTGGCAACTGGTAAAAGGTATGTTGGTGGAGAATTGTTTTAAAAGATCTTCCCTTTCTTCTTGTTTTTCTCCAAGGTCCTATAAAAAAATAAAAATAATAAGAACATATTCCAAAGTATAGCAAATATAATAATACTCTAGAGAAGAACCAATCACAACATGGTGTATCTGAGAATATGAACATTCCATCAAAGATTATGGCAGACAGGCTCTCAAGAAAATCTTGTACCTACTTTTGTGGGTTTTAAGCCTCATTCAGATGGGCAGCTGGAGAAGAAAGGGGGGTACTTGTGTGTATGCGGTAAAAACACGGTTTTACTGGCTCCTGGCCTCCAATTACACCCCAATCGAATTTGGCAGCCACTACTACTGCCAAATGTGACCAAGTTCAGTGCAAGAGGTCTTGCTGCAACTGTCTGGCTTGCATTTGCAACACAATATTTAAATTAAAAAAAAAAAATTAAAAAAAAACAAAAAAAAAAAAAACCCATTCACCTGACAGAGAAAAAAAAAAAAAAAAGTGGAAAAGAAGAGATGGAAGTATTGACGGCTGAATGCCTGGCAGCCACTGCTCTACCATACTCTGAAAAGCAATCCACCACCGCCTGTATGAAACAGCCCTTACGGATGTCAGCCTGAAGCCTTAGCTGGGGGAAAATTCCAGTTGGAACTAGGACCAGAGGTCATATGAAGTCTGACATCCACTGCCTGTCATCTGCACACAGTAAATTGAGAGTTGTGAGGTAAAGCCGACCTGAAAGTGTTACACAGAAGGTGATCTGTGACTCCCCAACTTAGATATGAGCTCCCCTCCACCTGCAGTTGCTGTTGGACACAGTGAAACTAGAACGATTTTCATTCACATATTTCCTTTCTTACTCATTATAGGACACAGGATTCAAAAACAATATGAACATCCAAAACTGTCTGAATGAGGAGTTCACTAAAATACAACAGGCCCACAATAACAAAAAAACCGACATAACTGAAGGCAACTTGCAGCTCAAGATGCTGCCGGAAGGTTGTAATTTGGTTGGCATCAGATAAGATCTGAACATCAACCTGGTAAAACAGAGAACAGAAGACGAGGTGACAGCCTTGCAAGCCCGGGGAACGGTTGTCTGACCCAAGAGCCAATCACAGATCTAGTACAGCAAGCTTTAACGGAAAGGGTGGTACCTGATACTTAACCCCGTCACGCCGTGCCTCCTGGCCCTTTAAGGGGTTTCTGACACCAAGAGGCGGGGCAGGGTTTAGGGTCATGTGAGTGTCGTGATTGGCTGTTATGGCAGTCACATGACTGGAAAGGTCCCAATCGCAAGGACTTTTCTGTTGGACACCGACAAGTGCTGGGAGCGTGCAGGGTACACGTTCTCAGCACGGTTGTTTACAAATGGTACACAAATATGCGGCTGCTCGATCTCAAGGCCCATCGGCGTGAAGAGGTTAAAGACCATAAGATGGAACAATGATCTTTCTGAGCCACTGAGAAATGGTGGAGACTCCCTTTTAGGCTATCAGGAATGACAAGACAGTCAGTGATTCTAACAAAAGCAACCACGAAGTCCAAACTACATCCAGGCACTGAAAGGTCATTTCCTTCTGTTGCTAGACAGAGAAGAACGAACAATGTCCCGCTTGAGGTGAAAGGCCGAGACCACCTTAAAGTGGTAGTAAAACCTGTTTTTTTAACTTGTACCTACAGGTGAGCCTATAATAAGGTGGCTTCCCTGTAGGTACTGTAACTATCTTCTAAAGATGCACCATTGAGGAGATATTTACCTGTGTAGAGCATCAGCCCATGCGCTCTGAAGGAATGGCATGCCTGTGCCGTTCCTTCAGAGCTGTGTGCAGTAAAAAGTGACTCCTGCATGTGACATCATCGCGGTGCGGCCATTCAAGCCACCAGGGCCCGCGAACACAGAAGGACCGAGTGAAGATGGAAGCCCTGTCAGCGGTGACCACACACCACTGGAGGGCTTCGTTTTAAGGTAAGTGTCCCATAATGTGCTAGTATACAATGAATTCCAGAACATTACGTCAGGGAAAGTAGAGTTTACTACAGCATTAAGAAGGAACGAGGCTCTAGATCTCTAGACACTACCTTGTCCTTGTGTAACATGAGCAATGGTTCTTTATAGAGCTCAGATACGCCTAGCTGACATGACAAGAAAGCGATGGTCACATCAAGCAGAAGATAGGAGCAAAGCCCTCCTTGAAATATAGATAGTGTTGTGCTCTTATCTTTTGATTGATGTGACCATCTAATTGGATTTTGGATGACCATTGAGGGCTCTTTTTTTTAACACTTTTTGTATATCCCTCATCTTAGGAGAACCTCCTGATCTTCCTCCCTCACTTGTAGCATTCCAATGAATTATGTACTCCTGAAAAAAATCTATTGAAATGTGTCGAGTCTACATGTGGAGTGTATCGGATCTAACAATTATTTGAACCACATATTCAACACTTTGTTGCCTGTTTTGTGCTTTGGCTTTTATTGAATACATAATAAAATTCATGTTTTTTATATACACAGTGTTTTCTTTTAGAGGGACATACAGATACAAAGTCCTGCAGATCTCAGGCTCCTGCAGACTCTCAGCATAGCTGTCTACCCGTATCTTGTACAGGCAGGCAGTTACCAGAGAGCAGGAAGATCAACGGACTATGAGAGCGCTCACCAGCACCCTGATAGTTCATTGAGAACTGCAAGCCATCAGCTGCTGACTGTACTTGTAGGCATTAATTCACAGAAAACTGAATGAATGACACGGCACAAAAAGGGGTGGAACATGTAACATGTTCAAAAGTAAATGTTTCATTTAATGAACTAGAAAAAAATATTGTTTAAGGGCTTAAAGTGGAAGTACTAATTTGTTTAATTTTACCTACAGGTAAGCTTATAATAAATCTTACTTGTAGGTAAAATGAGTCTCTCCTGACCGTTCACTGCTTGGGGGAGAGTCTCCCTTTCCTAAAGCCGGCGCATGCGCTCTGAAGGATAGCCATACCCGTACTGTTCCTTCAGAGCTGTGTGCTGTGGCCCAAGACTCCAACGCGCATGCGCAGGACTGACATTATCACGGCCCAGCCTGTCACACGGCCAGAGACTGCGAACCTGGAAGAAGGACAGGGTGAAGACGGGAGCCTCTGCAGCCATGACAGGGTGAAGACGGGAGCCTCTGCAGCCATGACAGGGTGAAGACGGGAGCCTCTGCAGCCATGACAGGGTGAAGACGGGAGCCTCTGCAGCCATGACAGGGTGAAGACGGGAGCCTTGCAGCCATGACAGGGTGAAGACGGGAGCCTCTGCAGCCATGACAGCTCACCGCTGGAGGGCGCACCCCTGGAGGGCTTTGTTTTAGGGGAAGTCTTACATAAGGTGCTAGTATGCGATGCAAACAAGCACATTATGACATTACCTTGCAGGGGACTTTTTTTTTTTCCCTTTCGTTCTTGCGGTCTACTAAAAAAGCAGAGAGGTCTGCGACATTCTATCAGAAAATATAGATAGGAAGAGGTTTGCAAATAAACACCTTATAAAATCATGAATCTAAAAAGCATCCGAGAGATTAGGGAAAAAGGGGGTTAAAAGTTTTGCTTCAAAAGTACACTGAAAACTAGTGTTCAGGTGAAGTTATTTACCTTCTGGAAAATTATAGTTTGTTGCTATGGAAACAACTGCAATTCTTATGCTGATCCCTTTTATAGCTACATTGCTATGACAACATTGCTATCAGATATTACAGCAGAATCTCTTGGAAATGGTATAATGGTAATATCTGATAGCTTGCAAAGGATTAATGTGCTTAAATGATAGCATATCAAAAAAGATGAGCAAAATTTTTATTTTATCTGAATAATACACACTAATTAAAGGTTCATAAGGCTGCAGGGAAAAAAAATACACACACAAACATACACACATACATTATATACACTAATCAAAAAAAAATTAATGGAACACTTTTTAATCATAGTATCAAATCAATTAAACTCCTGGGATATTGATCTGGTCAGGTAAGTAGCAGAGGGGGTTGTTATTCAGTTTCAGCTGCTTTGGAGTTAATGAAATTAACAAAAGGTGCACTAGATGGGCAACAATGAGAAGACCCCCAAAACAGGAATGGTTTTACAGGTGGAGGCCACTGACATTTTTTTCCCTACTCATCTTTTCTGTTTTTCACTAGTTTTGCATTTGTCTAGGGTCAGTGTCACTACTGGTAGCATATACCTGGACCCTACAGAGGTTGCACAGGCAATCTAACTACTCCAGGGTGGCACATCAATATGTACCATTGCCAGAAGGTTTGCTGTGTCTCCCAGCACAGTCTCAAGAGCAAAGAGGAGATTCCAGGAGACAAGAGCACGGAGGAGATTCCAGGAGATAGGGAGTTAACTCTAGGAGAGCTTGACAGGGCCATAGAAGGACCAGTATCTGCTCCTTTGTGCAAGGAGGAACAGGATGAGCTCTGCCAGAGCCCTACAAAATGACCTCCAGCAGGCCACTGGTGTGAATGTCTCTGACCAAACAATCAGAAACGGACTTCATGAGGGTAGCCTGAGGGCCCGATGTCCTCTCGTGGGCCCTGTGCTCACTGCCTGGCACCATAGAGCTCGATTGGCATTTGTCATTGAACCCCAGAATTGTCAGGTCCACCACTGGCACCCTGTGCTTTTCACAGATGAGAGCAGTTTCCCCCTGAGCACATGTGACAGACGTGAAGGGTCTGGAGAAGACATGGAGAATGTTATGCTGCTTGTAACATGGTTCAGCATGACCGTTTTGGTGGTGGTGGGTCAGTGATGGTCTGGGGAGGCATATCCATGGAGGGACACACAGACCTCTACAGGCTAGACAATGGCCCCCTGAATGCCATTCGCCAACAGTTTCGCTCAGCGCTGTACATTGTAAGGGGAGACAGAACATGCGACAGAACAATACAATGCAATACACGAGGGGTTCGAGGGCCCTGCTCTTTTGAACTTACAATCTAGGAGAATGCAGGCAGTTCCTGGAGGATGAATAGATACCACTGAATGGTTCCCACACTCGCCTGACCTAAATCCAATAGAACCCCTCTGGGATGTCATGTTTTGGTCCATCCAACACCGCCAGGTTGCACCTCAGACTGTCCAGGAGCTCAGTGATGCCCTGGTCCAGATCTGGGAGGAAATACCAAAGGACACCATCCGTGGTCTCATTAGGAGCCTCCCCCGACGTTGTCAGTCATGCATACAAGCACGTGGGGGCCAATCTACTGAGTACCATTTTGAGTTGCACTGAAATTTCAGCAATATGGACTCGCCTGCTGCATCATTTTTTCACCTGGATTTTCATGGTATCTTTGAATTCAGGCCTCCGTAGATAATTTTCATTTCTATCAAACGATGGGGCATCCTTACGTTCCTAACTCATTTACCCCGTCCATATCAGTATAGATATATAGCATATTGTTCCCCATTGAGATCTGATGCGTTTTCAACGTGTTCCTTTAATTTTTTGGCTATGTAATGAGCATCTCTAACCTTGAAGAATTCTGCTGTTCCAGTATACGTTGCTGAGTCTCCCAGTTGACCTTCTCTTCCTCAAACTGGCGTCTCTTTTCTTCCAATTCTTTGTGCTGAGCCTCAAGGTTCTTTTTCATCTGCTCATGGCGTCGTTGCAGCTGAAAGAACACGGGGAAACAAAATAATCCAAGTAATATGTGTACAGACAAACAAAATAGAAAACTAAATATGAAAACAGAAAACAAAAGCAAAAACGGGATTAAATCGAATGTTAGGGAAGGTAACAGTACTATTTTTACAGTTCTACATTATAATGGGTACGGCATCTGAAGCCTTTTATCATCATCAATACAACTGAAAGCTGTGGCGTTCATAAATACAACACATCTGATTAAATGCTGCCTAAGCAAAGTTTTTTTTTTTTTGTTTAAGGACTGCTAAACATTCTTTTAGTAATATATTGTGAGAAACGGACTTACTTCTGCTTCAGAGTCCTTCAGCTTCTGAACCTTTTCTTTGACTTTCATCTCAAATACCTGTTCCATTTCCATCTCCATTTTCTTCATTTTGGCCACATGTTCCCTTCGTTCTTCTTCCATCTGAGCCAATGGGCTCCTATAATACAGGACAGCATGAGTAACTGAAAGGCGGCATTAAAGTGCGTTTAATAATTAAACTAAATGAGTAAAATGATAACAGAGGATGGTGAGGTATTGATGCTACCCAATCAAGTAATAACCACCAAGTTGCAAAGTAACCTGCCAATTAGAGAGGACAACATTCAGTCTCAATACACTAGAAGGCTATAAACACAGATCACATTGAAAGGATCAGGAGTTCAACTATACAGCATTGCCTCTGAAAAATCTAATTCTCTATAGTGGTGTTACTCTCTGGACACACAAGCACTGGTGACCCACCTATATTTCTGAATTGTTAAAGTGTAGGAGCTGGATAGAGCTAAATATTCTATCATATCTGCTAACCTGTCCATGTATCAGACTATCCATCCATCATGGGGACAGGAGACAACCATTCTAGAAAGACAGATCGTTCTGCAGAAGAGTACATGACATCTTATATTCTCCCCTATGTGCTCTGGCTTCTATGGAAAATTAGCAGCCATAGTAATATCTCGAAGTGTCCATCTCTTAGAGAAGGTACAAACAGGAAGTTGAAAATAAGTGAGCGCTCAAACAACACAGGGAATAGCGACCATGCGCCAAAGGCACCATATAAGACCTTCAGGTAAACAGGAATATACTAAAAGGGTGCAGCGCTGGTAAAAAAAAAAAAAAAAAATCACAAATATAATGTATATATGCTAAATTCATATATAGATAATCATCAATAAGGTGACATCGTGCAAATTCATATGCAACTAGAATCTGTGACTAATATTGCAAAACAAAAAAATAAAAATAAAAATTTTGAGCATACCAAAAGGTGACAGTGTGGTTGAAATCACAGACGGACGCATAGACGTCCACAAATTAATGAGCCTTGTATATACATAGATAAGTAAGGTGACATTGTGCAAGCATATATGCCACTATAATATCGTGAAATATCTATAACCAATCTAAATGAGTCCAAAAAATGCGAACAAGATCGCTGATGATCTTCAGGCGTCCAATAACCGGAAACGTGAAAAAGGTGAGAAAATAAGGTAAAGACTGCGCACTCACCAGATGCGCAATCTTTATGCGCATTTGTAGATCATAAAAACGCATCAGACGCCCTCACATAGGTCTGGTCAGATCTGGTCATGTAGCCTCCACTGCTTCATAATCCATACTCCAATAGCATACTCTCTCCTCTGCTGCCACTTCCATCGTTTATAAATATATCTATGTATATACAAGGCTCATTAATTTGTAGACGTCTATGCGTCCGTCTGTGATTTCAACCACACGGTCACCTTTTGGTATGCTCAAAATTTTATTTATTTTTTGTTTTTGTTTTGCAATATTAGTCACAGATTCTAGTCGCATATGAATTTTCACAATGTCACCTTATTGATGATTAATTATCTATATATGAATTCAGCATATATACATTATATTTGTGATTTTTACCAGCGCTGCACCCTTTTAGTATATTACTCTTAGAGAAGGAAGTTCAGTTTTATCAGCTGATTTCTGTGCAGCTCCAATAATTCCAATTTTTGACATATCAAGAAATATCTGGTTTCCCAGCTTCTAGCAAAATAAACCCCAACAGTTCCTCCTCCAAAAGATTGTTTCCCTGGGAAGTCCAAATTCTACCTGTAACAAAGCTAAACCTAACTTAGCGTTGAGGCAGTAAACTGCCGATAACCTGCAGGACCTGCCAGTCTCCTGAAGATGCCGGCTGCCCGTTTGCTGCATTGATCCACCGGCTTCAATGTTTAATCAGTAACATGGAACAGGAATGCAGATCAGTACATTAGAGTGCAGTCAGAACTCCATTTCCATAGGTTTTCTGGGTCAGTGACAATTATTGAAGAAAAAGGGTCATTATGAAAGCCAAGTAACACATTAAGGTCTCCTGCACACAGAGCATTTTTGCAGCCACTTTTAGGGGCGTCAAATGTTTTTACTGCTTCCAAATGGCCCTCCATGTTACCCTATGTGTCCATGCACACAGACTTTTAGAAGCTTTTAGTAGCAGTATTGTTTACCAGGAGGGAAAAAAAAACCCCCAGGGCCAGTGCGTCCAGGAGCAGCAGCATTTTGGCAGAAAAACCGCTTGACGCATGTAAACGCAGCTAACTGCGCGGTTGCACTTGAGCGTTAATTTAATTGGCAAGAATCTGTATAATTTAATGAAGGAAACCTATCAAGAGATAAATATGAGATGAGGTTGTTTTTATTACCTCTTACTAGAAGGCCTCATGTACACAGGACGCTTTAAAACCGTTCCTCCTCTTGGAAGCAGCATTTTGGCAGAAAAAAAACCGCCTGACGCTTGTTAGTGTTTAAACCTTTTACATGCATTTAGGTGTTTACAAAAGTCAAGCGCTTGGACATCAATTCATTTTATTGGCTAGAATGATTATTATTATTAGCGGTTATTTACAAAGATTCTTGTACTAATATGTTCTCAAAATATTCAATGTTTTTAATGGCAGGTCTGATGCTGATTAATGACTGAAGAAAAGTACCGCCCAGAGCAGAGACAGATATATACCCGATATAGAACAGATATATACCCGATATGTAAGGTCAAAGCTGGGGGGTAACCTGCCTTCAACAGGATTTTCCAGTCTTTAAAGCAGTAGTAAAGCCCCGGTCTTATCTTGTACTTACAGGTGAGGTTACAGGCAGGCTTACCTATAGGTACAATGAATTTCACATTGGCAATAGCGGATGAGGTCATGTGCACATGCGTAGTGAAGCTCTGTATTCAGGGCACACAGTATGCGGTGGAATGCAGAGCGCTGGGTCGCAGCCGTGGGAGAGGCATCATTGCAGCTTCACCCATTCAAGTGGCCTTCCTGGAAGGAAGATGGGGTAATGGATGGAAGCCCTGACAGTAGTGACAGCCTGCCACTGGAGGGCTTTGCTTGAAAGGTTAGGGAGTCATAATGTACTAGTATGCAGTGTGCACTACCACATGATGTCACAAACCTGGAGGATGCCCATTATTTTTTTCTGGCCGGTTTATTACTGCTTTAAACGGATTATATATTTATTACTTTGATCATCATGAAATCTCAGGGCAATATTCCTCCAAATTCATTTGCAACAAATGAGTACAGGCTGTGTGTCTAGGTTTCATTTAACCATTAACCATAAAATAAAAAAAAAAAAACGTTCTTGAAAAATACCTTGATTAACACTGACGTCCCTTGATTGACATTAAGACCGGGTTCACACTACTGCGGTACAGGACACTGCATGGAATTCGTACAGGAAATGCACTGCAAATAACATGCAAAGTCTGTGCGGTGCGATTTGAGCCATATACTTTGTATGGCTCAAATCGCAACTGCACTGCAAACAGGTGCAGGACCCTTTTATTTACCCGCACCTGAACTGCATCGCATGGGTGTTTCTCACTCATGCAATGTGATTTCTGGCAATCACACTGCATTTTGCAATCTGTTTCAGGGTGTCATTAATGTAACAATGACACCGCACCAAATTACATTGTGTGTGGTTTGTCGGGGCTGTGGGGTCGGGGGGGGGGGTGTGTGGGGTTGGGGTTTGTGGGTGGTGGTGGGGTGTATGGGGGGGGGTTGGGGGGGGGGGGTTTTTTGTGTTTTATTTGGTTTTTTTTTTGTTGTTTTGGTTGTATGTATATATATATTTTGGGGTTGGGTTGGGTATGTGTTATATATTTTTTGGGGTGGGTGGTGGTGTTTGGGTATATTGGTTTTTTTTTTTTTTTTTTTTGTTTTTTTTTTTTTTTTTTTTTTTTTTTTTTTTTTTTTTTTTTTTTTTTTTGTGTTTGTGGGGGGGGGGGGGTTGATGGTTTTTTATTTTATATTTTTATTTTATAATATATATAATATTTACACAAAAACACACACACACACAACCAAAATTATATAAACACACACACACACACACACTATATAAACAAAATATATTTGCATTTTTTTTTTTTTTTTTTTTATATATATATTTATTTAAACACACAACATATATATATAAACACAAACCACACACACACAACACCACATTATATTATATTACACACACACCCCATTTTAAAACACACATATATATATTTTTTTTTAAAAATTTTTTTATATATTTGTGTTTATATATATTTTACCACACACACATATTTATTTTTTTAACAACTACACACACACACATTTATATATATACAACACACACACACACAACACACACACACACATATATATTATATTATATAACACACACATTTTATTTTATTACACACACACACATTACACACACACACACACACACAAAATCCACATATATACTATTCACACACAAACAAAACAGTGTGAGTTTTATTTTTTTTTTAGTTTTGGTGGGTTTTTTTGTTAGGGCTCTTTAGATAGTTCTTAAAAAAAATTTTTTTTTTTTTGATGGTTATTTTTTATTCTCTGCCTTTTATTATGTTGGTTTTTTTTTTACCTTTAAGAATTTTTTAGTGTGTGAAAAAAGAAGTGTTTATAAAGAATGGATTTATTTCTGTTTGGGGTTTTTTATTTAAAGGCACTTTTTAGGCATATAGCCACAAAATTTTTAACCCCGCATTTTTTTTTTTTTTGTTTCATTTTGGCCCCATAAGAATTTGTTTCAGCATATTTTTTTTTTTTTTTTTTGTATTTTTTTAATATTTTTGACCAAGGCTTATTTTTTTTAACACATTAGTCACAGAAGCATTTTGAAAATACATCCACACCTTACTTGGTTTTTTTTTTTTTAGTTTAAGCTCACACCACAATGACAGCATGTGTTCAATGAAACACCAATTGCAAAAAGACAAGTTTTTTTTTTTTTGCTCAATTATCCATGAATACACAAGCACTTTTGTTTTTTTTTTAATGGTTCAGTGATCTGCGCTTTTTTTTGACAAAATTTGAAAATATGAATATTTGTCTCAGGCGGGTTATATTTTCCATGGAGAGGCACCCGGACAAATGTCTGTAGCAAGTTAAGCATGGTTTTTTTTTCCCTTGCCGCTCTGGGACTACATTTCTTTTTATGTATTTTGTTATTTTTTTTGTTTTTTTTGCCACCTTCACTTGCGAGAAAGAAAGACATTTTTATCCACCATGTAACACCCTCCTTTTTAACATAAAGACAAATGGAAGCATTTATAAAACCAAA